AGCAGGCAAAAACAATAAAAACAAAAGCCATCAGTATGATAGTAAAACCAATTATTATTTATTCTGAAAATTATTATGTCTTCTCCAGTCCTCCAGAGTGTTAAGCAGACATAAAAACTGAAGGTTTACCCAGACTGAAACAAGCTTCTACCCTTTCAGATGTCTGTTTATTTCTTGATTTGGTGGGAGAATTTCCAAACATAGACCAGTTTCCTTCACATGCTGCAGAAGATGGAGAAATCTGAAGAGTTGTTCTGAACTCTGGAACATTTGAAAGTACCTAAGTACCTTTCTAACACCAAGACTGCAGAAGTAATGATTGGGGTGTGTATGTGTTTTATAGATAGATAGATGACAGATAGATGTAGATAGATGATAGACAGGTGATAGATAGATAGATGATAGATGATAGATAGATAGATAGATAGATAGATGATAGATAGATAGATAGATAGATAGATAGATAGATAGATGATAGATAGATAGATGATAGATAGATAGATAGATAGATAGATAGATAGATAGATAGATAGAATACACACACACGCATGGGAGGAACCCTAAGAAGCGGTTAAACTGCAAACAGCCCCATGAGAACTGAGCATGCTCAGTGGCCACAGACTTCTGACCAACTGTTGGGAGTAGGGGAACGCAACATAAAAGGGAATGGAGCATCTTGGAAGAGCACACCCTCCTAATGTCCCAACTTTCCAGGAACAGTCCCAGAATTACAGAAGCCATCCCGGTTTCTGATTTGATCCTGGAATGTCATGCTTTTCCTTCACTGGAGAAATGTTGGAGGGGATGGAATAGGATGAGGGCTTAGCTGTTCAGCCGGACAGTGAACCCAAACATTCCATGCTGCCACACTTGGCTGCAGTTCCTTCTTCTGTAATTCTGTGTAGGGGGGCAGAGAAACAAACCACCATTTTCACGTTGTGAACTGGCCCATCATCACCCACCACAACTGGCATCTTTTCTAGTATAAAGTCTAGAAATATGTTCCAACATTGACAGAAGGGCATCGGTTAAAAGCCAGTGTTAAGTAGCACAGTTCAAGAAGTATGCAAACAAATCAGGAAAGATTTATAGGAGACAGACAAATATGAGAATGGATTTCAAATCAACACACACTGAGGGAAGGCTTGGGTGAAGGAGCTTGCTGTGCATATCCATCCAAATCAATGAAAAAATGTATAAATAAAGAGTTACACAACTCTCTTCTCATGAGGCCTGTTGTAGATTAACCCAATAAAAAAGGAATATAGTGTGCCTACTGTGTTATAGCTTGTTTTTTTTGAGAACAGGGATTGCATCATTTGGCAACAGTTGGCAATAGAATATTTGCAATGCTGCTCTTTTGGCATTGCATTTTAAAGATCTTATTATATTTGATGCCCTTTACAAAACGTATTAAAATCTTAATCAAATGTGTTCTTTAAAACAGCCGAAGGAACTGTCCATTTTGTCATCTTTAAGGGGGAAAAATAAGGAAGGACATAAATCATTGTAGGCTTCCTTAAAGACTGATGAATACAACAGCATGGATGGAATTTAGATTTAGAGGATATGTTAAGAAACATTATTGATAATAAGCTCAACAGTCTTCTTGAGAAGTTCCATAAAGAATCTATAGAACCTCCTTCGGAGAAATTGGCCTGGGGGTCAGGAATTCTCAATCATAGCCTAAACATATGAAGGATTGTTTGTTAGAAATTATTCTAATCAGGCAGGACACAGGAATGATTTGTAATTTACAATGGTGCCTGGAAGGGAACGTGGTAGATAAGTTGAATGTAAGAGTTTGGGTTGGCGCCATCCTTTAGCATGGAAGTTCAAAAGCCTTGACATACTTAAGAACATGCTTAATTTTTAGTCATTTCACTCAAATGTCACCCAGTTTTCCAGAAACCTTTGTTTTAAAAGGAAAAGGAAAGGGTTTGGAGTGGTGAAGCTCTCCAGCATACTTTGTCTGTCCTCCTGACAGAAGAAAAAAGACAGCAGGAGATTGCAAATAACGTCAGTGCACAGCTAAACTGTAAGCCGTGCCTTACAGCCATTCAACGTCTCAAACTTCAAAATACAATCGCATCCTGAAAATTCCACGCGTACAATTGCAAAGCGCATAGATTATTTTTTTCATATTTGCAAAGAACAGAAGTCTACTTCTCTGCTGAAAAATTTCCCCCTTCTGCTTTGATCTTCTTGCTGCAGATCTTCAGATGAAGGAGCTGCAATTGCACCATTCACACAACATCAAAGCCCTTTCTCCTCTCAGCCGCTCCTTACTAAACAACTGGGGGTTGGGGTTGGGGGGTGTTCAGAAGGCATGAAATCTGCTGCAGGCCAGATCCTGCCACAGAGTGGGGATTCTTCACCTCTGCTATAAACTAAGGAGGGAACTAAAAAAAGAACTAAGAGGATGATGACAGTTCCAAGCCAGTTGAGAGCAGGAACAAGCACTCTCAGAGAGCTGAGGAATAGAGTGAAGGGGGCACCAGTCCATTAATAGTAAGGCGTGACTGTGGTTATGGGTATGTTACGAGAATACCAAGACAGTGGCTGGCTCAGATGTAATATGAACAATGGTTTACTGCTTTTTGAATGAACTGCAGTGTAGGGGAAACAAGGAAGACCATTGTAATTTCAAGGAGTTAGATGACATGTCCCTTTCCCTTTACATCCCCAGTTTAAAGTTTGCCCTTTCATGCTGGTATAACTTGTTTTCCACACACCTGTGTCAGGAGTTTCCTGGGTCTCCTGTGTTCTAAGTGCTGATTGGCTAGTGGGGAGGATACCCAGTTGCAGTGAATTGGGTTGGAGACTCTCAGCTGCTCCGCATTCCTGTTGAGTCACACCCCGTGTCCCGGGCTGATCATGAGTGATGCCTGCTAACCAGGTGCAGTCAATCAAGTCCATCAAAGTTGGCTATAAAAGCTGTAGGTTGAAGGGGCTTAGAGAGCTTCTTCACAGGTCGAGGTTCCAGATGCTGTGAGACTGTTAGCCGGGCTCTCTGGCTGCTCTGCCTGGAGCTCCGGGCAACTGAAAGGGAGATTGTGTGTGACTTCTGTCTGGTATGCTATAATTTGTGTTTTGTATGCCTGCTGCTATCTGTTAACCTTACACAAATAAAGCATTACAGTGGTACCTCAGGTTACATACGCTTCAGGTTACATACGCTTCAGGTTACAGACTCCACTAACCCAGAAATAGTGCTTCAGGTTAAGAACTTTGCTTCAGGATGAGAACAGAAATCGGGCTCCGGCGGTGCGGCAGCAACAGGAGGCCCCATTAGCTAAGGTGGTGCTTCAGGTTAAGAACAGTTTCAGGTTAAGAATGGACCTCCAGAACGAATTAAGTACTTAACCCGAGGTACCACTGTACTTATTCTTCATCCGCTGGTGTGCTTATTGGCTCCGGATCTGGAAAGAACCCAGCCCTTGGCAGAGCAATGCAACAAATGGTGCTTCGGCACCATTTTCTCCTCTGATTTTGTGCATCCAAAGATATTTGGAAGCGTCAAAATATGATTCCCACCATTTCCAAACATAAGAAACTAAGGTTTGTTTAAAATTATCTCCTCTTGCAGGCAAAAGGGGAGAGCTGCGTTGTGTGCGCAAACCAATCTTTATTCACTGTTTGATCTTTTAGTAATTATTTGCAGGAGAGTGTGTGTGTGTGTGTGTGTGTGTGTGTGTGTGTGTGTGTGTGATTTTAACACTTAGTTGTTCCTCTTCTGTGTCTGGAGAACAATTACTACTTGAATCTTCTTCTGGCAGTTAAAATGGAGGATGAATTAAGACCCCAGGCAGCTGACACTCAGCGGAAAGGGACAGCTGGCGAAGGATTCTAGAAGACTATTACCTTTACATAAATATCACAAACAAATAAATAGATCTTTGGCCCATCGTAGGCGTCCAAGCAGATTTAAAGAGCATAGTTGTGGGATTTGGGATTAAAGATCATTTCCTCCTCCTGTTGTGGAGAGCTGCTTGTTCAAACAGCAGAGGACTTCACAGGATAGATTGCTTAAAAACACACAAAGGGAGGGGGAAACCCTCCACATCTGATCTAGTTTAAACAGACACAGTACGAATAAGTCAGCCGACCTTAACTTTGCCCCAAGCCAAGTCACTGCCCCAAATCAAGTGACAAGTCTGTACTCACACAACATACATCTTCACAGCATCAGTGACTCTGGAAATTGAGAAGTGATCTGAATGGCTTCGCCACTTCTTGTTTGATGACTGATTTCTCCCCCCATTCGCCACCCTCTCTTTCTCCAGTAGCATTTTGAACCAAAGAGCATGCATCTTTCCGGCAGACGACGGCTGCTGCCTGCAAAGCTGTAAGGCCTTGTCAGGGGAAAAAGAAATGGATTTTTTTTAATGTCTCTTCACCAAAGGCAACTGTATTCTGGGCTCCTCGGTTCCTTCTAAGTAGATGAGGTTTCCAGTGTAGCAAATAACCTTTTCATGAACAATAGGCAGGAACAGTGAAGGACATCTGAAGACTTTCCTACAGAGAAAATCAGAGATTTTCGAAAGTGGCAGCAAATAGCAAAGAATGGGGATCCAATACTTCCATCCCTACAGGCCGCTAATCCTCCTTTACAAACTCCTTTACAGAAATGGCTCATCTTACAGATAAGAAGGAAGGAAGGAAGGAAGGAAGGAAGGAAGGTCAGCAGGATATAGGACTGCCCTAAGATGGTGGTGGTAATGCGGATTTGCCTCTTAGCTATGCATTTTAAATAGTTCTTGCCCTAGTTCTTATTTCCTGGTTTCTCTTGCAGATTTAATCTATACAGTGAACTGTTGAGAGTTAATGGGTATTATACCTAAGTACAGTTGCTTGCTCCACACTTAGGGATGGATGAATCAGTCTCTTCCCAGTCCATGTCCAAGAGTCATAGAATGGGGTGTATCCAACAATCACAGAATTCGAAGGGACCCGAGGATCATCTAAGTCCAACCCCTTGTGATGTAGGAATATGCAGTTGTCCCATACGGGGTTCGAACCGGCAACCTTGGCATTATCAGCACCATGCTCTAACTAACCAAATGAGCTATCCAGGCCGACAGTCCATTTCACAAGTGTTCACTGACTAAGAATCCTATGCCTGGTAGTAAATCCCATTAAAGCCAGTAGAATTTACGTCTGAATAAACATGTATAAATAGGATTGTGCTGTCAGTCTGTTCCATCTGATTTCTGAATTGATCTGCAATAAAAGCTGTATGCAAATTCACATGTACTTCTGAACACATTTTATCTTAAAATCCACATTTCTAAAGGTATATGATCTCAACTTCATTTCTACAAATATTTGATCATCATATGCATTTGTAAGGGCACTTGGATACAATTTTGAGCTGAAAACTGCCCAGCAACGCTTTGGAGAAGTGTGCAGTGTGGTGAATGGCTCCATACGGATACCAGCATTTGTGTGGGAGGCACAGATCCGATCATTTCGTATTGGAATTTTCAAAGATCGAAATTTACACCACAAGCTATGGCAGATTCAACCCACAGCTGTTTGGAACAGGACCTCTCCTGCTTTGCTGAGCACCCCAGAATCTGCCTCATCCTGCTCTGTGTAAAAGCTCCCACACTTGACTTGCGGGGAGAGTATTTTACTTCCTGCACGCCTCCATACTTCTACACTCACGGCTGTCAGTCTGCTTAAAATATTCACCCTGAGGTCATTAATGCAGTTGGTTCCATGAATGCTGAGGGTCAGGGTCAAAGAGTTATGAGTCTTCTTGCTGTCTGGGGAAGGGAGGAACAAAGGAAACCGCTGGCATTACAATCTGTCTGCTCTGAATGCCTACTCCTACCATCACACACCTGATGTGCATCTCCTCGCCTTTCTCCCACCCCCTCTGCAGTCCCCTTGACAATAGAAATCGGTCCTAGTGAGCAAGTATAACTAGCAGGAAGTGATCACTATCCAAGCCACTGACTGCATAGGGAAACACACATACTCATCATTCATTTTGACAAGCAGCATCTCCCTGTAGGTGCACGTTTTGGCAGTGGCAGCAGCAGCTGCTGCTCCCAAAAGCACCCACTTCATTTTTCCTTAACCCCACCCCCTTCCTGCTCATTGTCTGCTAGGCTCTTCTTCTCTAATGCACAGGCAGATTCAGGAAAGCGCCAGTATCATAACGTTGAAATATAATTTCAAAGGGTGGGGTGGCAGGGACAGGCGAATATTCCACTGGAAATCCTACGGATTGGGCACCATCCCTTCAACAAGAAGTAAATCAGAGAAATTAAAAGAAAACTGAAAAGAAAGATGTGAGAGGGAGAGGGGATGAAACTGCAGTCCCATATGGTGCTTTGTGCTGTTGGGGGAACTTCATTATCAATTTAGTATGAACATATATTCTGATTTTATGAGTCGAATAAAAGGTACCATTATACATTGAAATATTAAGGTGCCATTTTAAAAAAACTGACTGGATGCTATTATTTCAGTGGAGACTAGCATCTCTATACAGTGGTACCTCGGTTTTCGAATGTCTCGGAAGTCAAACGTTTTGGTTTTCAAATGCCAAAAACCTGGATGTAAATGCTTCCGTTTTCGAATGTGCCTCGGAGGTTGAATGGCTTCCACTAAGTAATTCTCAATTTTCTCAATTAAATTTGCAGACCACCCTTTGCGCTTCGGTTTTTGAACATTTCGGAAGTAGAAGGGTCTTCCAGAATGGATTATGTTCAGAAACGTACTTAATTCATTCCGGAGGTCCGTTCTTAACCTGAAACTGTTCTTAACCTGAGGTACCACTTTAGCTAATGCGGCCTCCTGCTACCGCCAAGCGATTTCAGTTCTCATCCTGAAGCAAAGTTCTTAACTGGAAGTACTATTTCTGGGTTAGTGGAGTCTGTAACCTGAAGCGTATGTAACCCGAGGTACCATTGTATTACTTTTCTAAATAGTTAGAGTGTCCCTTCCCCTTGAGATCCTGAAACAAGGTGGAGTGGTTGGTTTTTAGACTTAAAGGTTCAAAAGATCCCTTCAGACAGGAGTCAGTGCCATAATAGAGGGCTTCTTAGGCGCTGAGGCTGCCACCATTTGATTAGACCATTGTAAATGGCAGCAGCTAGGAGCAAAACCCAACATGGATTACAAGTCCCCCGTTCCTGGTCTATGCCTTTCCAACAAAGGTTGTAAAATAAGATATCTGGGCTCCTTTGCCATGCACAAGAAAAGCAAGGGTGAGTTGAATGTATTAAAATTTTCGCTATCACCTTTAGGAAAACTCTTGATTCCTTTTTTCTGCTCCTTCTTATCTGTTATGGAGCATCGTCCAAATGCTCTCATCCCCATGAGCCATGCTCACTGGGGCTGTTGGAGTCCAACAACATCTGGAGGGCCAGACTTTCCCCACTCCTGTTCTATGCTAGAAAATAATTCATTTCAAGTGGGAGCTAAGTTTGTAATAGCATCAGGAGCCATGGGGAGCGGAAGGAGCTCCTGAATAGAGAAATTAACAGCTAGTTGGCTGGACAACATGTAACCTCACTTATTAACTGCAGACAAGTCCAGCAACTGTCACTATGGGTATAATTGGAGCCTAAAATAATGGCCACATAATAGAGGCTGATCTGTGGGAAAGTAATACAATATATGTGGGAAATTAGCAGCCAAAATGTAACAAGTGCATATTTTTGCTAGTTAGCATGAGAAGGGGCTGAGTCCACAGAGCTGTGTTGCTGATGGGCAAACACTCAGACCATAGGCAATACAATTGGTAGAGAGGGTTCTTTGTGATGTTATTTCCTCTTTTCTCTTGGAGGGGAAGGACCATACAGTACTTCCTGTTTCTCTCTCTTCCTTTGACCAGTACAGTGGTACCTCGGGTTAAGTACTTAACCGTTCTTAACCTGAAACTGTTCTTAACCTGAAGCACCACTTAAGCCAATGGGGCCTCCTGCTGGTGCCACGCCGCCGGAGCACGATTTCTGTTCTCATCCTGAAGCAAAGTTCTTAACCCAAGGTAACATTTCTGGGTTAGCGGAGTCTGTAACCTGAAGCGTATGTAACCTAAAGCGTGAGGTACTACTGTACTGGATGCAGACATGCCTGAGCTTGCTCCAGCATTTGGCACAAGCCTGAAGCTGGTTATATTGCAATGTAAGTATTTTGCCTGCATCATTTTTACTGCTGCCACTGCTGTGAACCAATGCAAGATTATAAGTAAGTAAATTATATTTTTAATCTTACTTTCAAAATTGTTGCCTGCTTCTTTGTTAAGCGGTGTAAGAAAAGGAGGGACAGCTTACTTCGTAGCTGGACTTGCTCAAAACAAGGTTTTACAGCTTAATTCCTATGTTTTTAATTTTGGTTGGGATTTTAAAACTCTGTTCAGCCACACATGTGGGTGCCAGGAAGGATAAATTGCAATTAATATATACTCTCCTACCTATTAAAACCCATTCTACAACATATACAACAAAGGAAAGACTTTGAGACATCTATAATCCAGGTGCTGTCACCCATCAGCTAAAAGGCTTGCTTGCTGCATAGCAAAATGGGAAAGAGAAACCTCATCAGAGATCACAATTCTGTACTCAGATGCGGCTTTCCAGCTCAGGATGTTGCAGGTTCATCATGGAAGTATCATGGAAGTCACAATGAGTGAAACTCATTCACATATTCACTTAAAAAGAACCAGCCAGCTCAGACTTCGAAAGAGCAGGAACACTAGAAAAATACTGGCCACCAATAACCCTGGTCTAGATGATCTCAGGGGTGTTATTGTGTATACATGTTCCATGCTTTCTCCCTAAATCCAGAGATTCTCTATGATTTCAAAGCCCAAACAGAACAGCTACATCAATTGCACAGGAAATCTCCAGATTTAGGCAGGAGAAAGTGCATTTGAGCTATGCATGTCTGCCTAAACTACATGTGTCTGGACAATATCTGCTCATCCAAATGCCTATTGAAGTGCAGGACGGTTGCCCAACCAGCTCAGGCTACAAATTTGGCACAGCTGGACTCTCTCCCACTGTCGAGATATATAGGAGAGACAGTGTGGTGTAGTGGTTAGAGCATCCAACTTGTGGTCAAGAGGCCCAGCTTCAGGTCCCTACTCAGCTCAGTTGTGATCTTACACTAGTCATACTCTCTGAGTCACATTTTCAGGATTATTGCAGGCAGATGACATTTTGGGGTCGGAAAACTATGCATTCTGCCCCAAAGTCTTTAGAGGAAGGGAAAGGAATTAATAACTCTGCTCTGTGCATGCGTTGTGGCTCCTGCTTAAGGATAACAACCCTATAGTTGGTCCCAGGGTATGGTTACATCGTGGTCCAAAGGGTCACTATACAACCACCTTGCTCAGTTTAGACTGGGCTGCATCTAGTTGGTGCCTATGTGGGAAATTGTCCAGGAACTTTTTAGATGCCTTCTTGAGCAACAGTGGTACAGTGGAGGGGAGACACATGGAGCCCCCCCCCCCCCGCCGCTGCCGCCACAGCAGGAGCAGTGATATCATCTACTGGAGTGCCAGGTTAATTGATGGACCCACCTTCATCTGGCAAATTAATGAGGTGATCAGGCAGCTTCCTAGTTTTAGTACTCTTTGTAAAAATCAGGTTGACCTTCCAAAAAATTTAAAAACCGTTGCCAATGACCCATTTGCTATATCTCCATGACCCATTTATAATATTAAGCCCCTGTCTGTAAACGCCCTTGGCCATTTGTCCTTTATTGTTGTAGTAAGCTTTTTAAAAGTTTTCTAAATTTCTATTCTGTGATTGTTAGCTGATCTTAATAACTTGGGTACTGCTGCACTCTGTGTGGTGGGAGAGAGAATTGATTAGCTCATCCACTGCAAAATTTACCCCTATAGTGTGGTGGCAACACTACTGCAGAGCAGGGCAGAAGAAAAATGAGGCATAAATGAAATTTGTGTATATCGTCGGGATGGGAGACATGGAAACTGGCTTTTCAGAGGATTCTCTTCTGCTTCTTCTGATCAGGAGCTACTGTGCACAATCAAGAGAAAGGGCAGCTTCTGGGAGACTTTCATTGGAGCATCGAGGCAAAGCATTTCTATGCATGT